GACAAGCAAAATAGTTCGTGTAAAGAAGATAAACAAAGCACAAAGAGTTTGGCCTCATATTGGTTCATTAATTTACCAGAGGTGCTCAACATTAGGTTTATTTGAATTTCATGAACAACTTTAATTTCTATAAAATTCAAAAAACAATGTTTAATATTTAATGAACGATTTATTTCTGAATGATCTTTGTGAGATTTAAGTATAATATATTTGCTGATAAAAGAAGAAAACATAAAATTTTGTAAATATTAGTGAAAGTTAACTAGTATGGAATGGATATTGAAACGGTCAAACAAAGTATGTACATATTCATCTAATTTATTTTATTATATAAAATTCAATGACATTGGTATCTATGTATGATAAGTACACAAGTATATACATTTGTATGTGTGTATATTATATGATAAAATTAATGACAATTAGTTTACCGGATTATTGGCAGCAACTCCACCGTCTACGAGGTTGAACTCTCGTACATAACCTTGTCTAATCTGGTTCTTGAAATAATATGCAGGAAGATAAGTTGGAGCTGCAGATGTGCCAATGCATATATCTGAGAGTCGAGCGTCCAACGATGGCGTCCTCATGGCCTGTGTATACATATATACGGACTGAATTACATTATATTCCCTGTTTGACTCAATTCTTTTTGTACCCTATATAGATCTAGCTCAAGCTATAGACAAATGAGTTGTTCATGAACAATGTGAGATTTAAAAACTAGGAATGAAATTTTAAAAATATCGTTGATAATGAAAAATAGTTAGAATCCGTCGCTAATGTTACAAATGTAAAATAAAAAGATATATAGATTATCAATATTCTTGTAGTAACTTGTTAATAAAATAAAGAAAAAAAATAAAATTTTGTCGTGGACATCAACAATTTCTCCGTAGGCGATCATCGATCGAAACGTTGTTGATTATTACCGATGACATCGTACACGACATTATGGTCGGTAGTCGCTCATGAATGTGCATTGACAATATGCAACAATATGAGTGCTAATAATTCCATTCAAATCACTGACATGTCAGCAATTATTGGCAGAACTGTTTACTTTAATTGTTCGCTATATTTTAATTTATTATTATTCTTTTTGGAGAAGGCCCTAAATTTTTTTTGTCTAAGGCCCTTGAATTGATTGAGAGACCTCTATTAAATACTTACAATATAATGATTTGTTGGCTAGAATATTATAGTTTCGAGTTTTCAGATAGAAAAAAGCACAAAACAAATAAAATATTAGCATTCTAGTGTTCAATGTTCTTGAACAATTGTGAACAATTAAGAATATAATCAAACAAATAGAGTTGGGGGAAAGGAATGATGAAAATA